GGTGCCTGGTTCTCTTGATGGGTTTTCATAAGGATTGTTCTCCTTCCATCACTCTGGGAGATGCAACCTCATACAAGGCATCTCCTGCTCTGTGGTCCTGAGCCCAGGACTTACCTCCATTCTGCTCTGTAAAGCCCCATCCGATGACCCACAGTGCGGTGGCTGGAGGTAGTTCCTCGTCAAAGAAGGGCAGGCAGATGGGCCTGACTGTGGCTGTCAAGAGCAGAGAGAAGGGGGAGACCCTGAATTAATGATGTTTTTATTTCCTGTTTTATGATGCTTTGACATGTTGGGGATCTTGCTGATGTAGGAGAGACTGGGTTAGCTAGTTCCTGAGATGATAAACCACTTGCCTATGGTATGACTTCAATATTCGAGCCAACCAAAGCCCTTACCCTCAACCACCTCCCTTATCTAGCTGCCATGCACTAAGCCAATGGTGTTCCATGTTCTACATCACTCCAGGGACAGTTGCTAGACAGCTAGAGACCAACCTTTATGACCGAGAGAACTATCCACTCTCTCCAACCCCAACCTCACTTAAACTTGCCTTCCCAACCTTGCCCCTCCTTTCTATGGACCTGCAATAAGACTCTGGGCCATGCTCCCTTCTCCCTCCTTCTGACTCCTGACTGACATGGTGATCCCCATGTGGCTCTGTGTGGTGAGGTGTATCCCTACTCTCTCAGCAACAGTGAGTAATAAACTCTTCTTTCAAAGGCAGTTGCCTCTGTGTCTGCACCCTACCACACCTGGCTAAAACAAATCGCAGGCACAAATCTTGGAATAGAATCAAAGATCAGGAGAGCCTGGCAACTAAGCTCTTTAAAAATGAAAAATATCTGGCTGGCAGAGTGGCTTGGTGGTGGAACACCTGCCTAGCAATCATGAGGCCCTGAATTCAAGCCCCAGTACCTCCAAAACAACAAAAAAAGTAAGTGAATTAAAAATGAAAAATGTCCTACCACGGGCTGGAGATGTGGCTCCAGTGGTATAATGCCCACCTAGCAAACTCAACACCCTGAGTTCAAATCCCAGTACCACCAAAAAAAGAAAAAAAAAAGCCCTACAAGGGTTTCTATTACACTTGTTCTGTGGATATAAATAGAAGTGGCATGAAAGAGAATACAATACAACAGACTCTCTTAAAACCTTCTCATATCTTTGAGAAGTTTTATTGTGCTCTTTAATAAACTAATGTGCAGTTGAAAATGCTGATCTAAAACTTACTGAGTATAAGCCTAGGGCACTAATTGAACTGTTCAAAGATCCTATGGGCTGTCTTAGAAGGAATGAGCTCCTTGCCCCTGAAAGACAGCAAGCAGGGGCACAATGACCTCTTGACAGGGTTGGTGTGCAGGCTCTTGGGTACTGGTCAGGGATGGGAAATGGACTGGACGATTCTTTAAGAAGGTCCCTTACAACTCCAAGATTGGATGAATCGCTCTGATTCTCACTGGAGATCCTCCAAATGGAAGAATCTCTGGCAGGGGATGGTGTGTTGTGTTAGCTGACATCTGGAAGACGTCCTGTGGTGCAGTGCCATTGGGCTGATACATGAGATGGACACAAATGGGCAAGTGGAGATCTTGAGGAGAGATGTGAAGCATTCAAGGTCACCTAGTGAGCTAGAGGTAGAGCAGGAGTAGAATGGATCTGAAGAGCTCAAGTCACCTTCGAGGCTCGATCCCCAGGAACCACTTCTCACCTGAGAGCGTGAGTGGGAACTGCAGCTTTACAAGGGCAATGTCCTTTTCTTTGGGGGACAAGGGGTTGTGCTCAGTGATGAAGATCTTGGCCACAGGCAGGGATGGGAAGTTGCCCAGTTTGTTTGAGCCCACCCTCACCTTCCAGTTGGACACATCGAGATGCTTCCTGGGGGCAGAGATGGCTGGGTTCAGGTTGGAGCCAAGTATAAGAAGGCTTGAGTTCCCAGGACCAGGGGTTTGGGGTGCTGGGTATCACTGCCTTAGGAGACGATGGTGGGAGAGCATAGGTGGGGGAGAATGCAGTCTGAGGGATCACCTTCCAGAAGCCCAACTCTAAGGGGGTCTCATTCTTTTTCCTCTATGAAACCTGCCCAAAACCTCTGCCTGGAGCACTGGGGAAGGGACTGCCCCATGGCTGAGCTCTGGGGTCTTGGTACTCTCTCCTCCATCTTTGTTCTTGTGTGTGGTGCTTATACTGTAGTGAGTTACACTGTGGACTTGAGTTTTTCTAGCATGGGATATCAGATTCTCAAAAAGGTTAAGAAGCCCTTGCCTAGACCTAGAGGGCCTTGACAGTAGTGATGGGGTCCATCTGATACCCTCCAGGTGGGAGCCTTGGTTGAATGAATGGAAAGTGACAGAGGGCTTCTTCCTGTTGGACCAAAAGGGAATCTATATCCGGTTAAGTTTCTGGGAGTGGCAGTGACTGTAATAAGAGACTATTTCCTGGAAGACTGACAAGGAGGTCTTGAGAAGGGTTGTGAAGGGCTCCAGGTCACTTAATGAGCTAGAGGTAGAGGGGGGGTAGAACAGATCTTAGGGGCTCAGGTCACCTTCGAGGCTCGATCCCCAGGAATCACTCTCACCTGAGAACGTGAGTTCCCAGGCAGGTGGGAAGAGCTTTTGTGGAATGAATGAAATCGGGTTGGGGTAGGGTGAGAAGTGTGGGTATCTCGTGGTTTTCCACCCAGCAGAGGTGGAGTTTCATGACCAGCACCTTCTGCTCACACTCCCAATGCCTGACAAGGGCATCAGTGTCTCTTTGGCATGCCACGTCTTGGCAATAGTTTCCAGAAGAGAGTGGGAGACAGCATCAGAAAACAAGTCAGGAGTCCAGCCCCTCCATGGCCTCCTATACCCACCACCCCTGCCCCCTCCTGGCAGTGGAGGGCCTTACCGGAAGCAGTGGGCTGCTGTGAGGATCCAGTGGGCGTCCAGGATGCTCCCACCACAGATGTGCTGTTTATCGTACTGGACACTGACCTGCCAAGGCCAGGAATCCACAGAAGCCTCCTCCCCACCCACCACCCGAGGAGTCTTCAGGGGCCTTCCACAGGCTGGAAGGAGGAGGAGGAGGAGGAAGTCAGGATTTTGGGGGAGGGGCTGCTCTGAGGGTTCTCAGGCCTGGTACGGGAAGGTTGGGAGGGACCTGGCCAGTTCTGAATTGTTCATGGACAGAACATGAGTTCCACCCCACAGGCTTTCCCTCAAGTCTCCCTCTTCTGTTTTTGGTTTTGGGTGTGTTCAGGAGTTCAGATTGTGAACGTGGGTGTGTCTATTGTGCTGGGAATTTATGACCACATAGCCCTGCCCAGGTGGGGTGTCCCCAGCTGTCCCACTGAGTAACAGTAAACAGATGCTCATAAGCTACTTTGGAACCCGGAAGTGGGAAGAAGGTTCTAGAAACTGGATCTTCCCATCCCAAACTCATTTTTTCCCCCAAGTTCCCCTACCCCCAGGGAAGGGAGGCTCCCATTTGACTATTCTGCCTTTCCCTGACCTGGCTTTCACATTTGACCCTTGAACTTCTGGTTAAGACCTTAAGTCCTACCTCCCCTCCCTGCTCTCTGCCTATCCAGTCCTTCAGGCACCCCTGCCACAGCCTTCCTTCCAAGGTGGAAAGGCTGTCACCTTCCTTATCTTCCTGGCACTGTGCTGGGGAGAAGCCTTTCAAAGCCTAGCTGGTTTCAAACCCTGCTGTCTACCTACACAAGGCCTGCTTACTGGCAAGGTAGAGTGGGAACTCCTTCCTTAAATAAAGTTTCTGTCCAGCCAGTTGGTCTGCTTGTAGCCCACTGCAGTGGTTTGGATGTAGTTTTAGTGTACCCCACAAAGGTTCAAGTGTGGGAGCTTGGTCCTCTGTATGGTGGTATAGAGGTGGCAGAACATTTAAGAGGTGGGGCCTAGTGGCCTTCAGGTCATTGGAAGCCCTTAGAAAGGGCCAAGGTAGTTCTCCTGGGTCCCTGAGCTCTCCTGAGAGTGAGTTGTTATAAGAGAGAGCCTACCTCCTGAATTTCTCTCTGGCTTCCTGTTTTGTGATGTGATCTCTCCCTCTTTTTTTTTTTTTTTTTTTTTGTGGCAGTATTGGGTCTTGAACTCAGGGCCTCACGCTTGCTAGACAGGGGCTCTACCACTTGAGCCACTACTTCAGCCCCTTGATCTCTCCCTCTTGTACATGCTCCTCCCATCATTCATCATTCTATGTTAGGCCATCACCAGAAGCCAAGCCAAGGGGCTGCCTGATCTGGAACCTTCAAGTCTCCCAAACTGTGAGCTAAGTCAACCTCTTTTCTTTATAAAGTTAGATTGCCTCTGGTATTTTGTTACAGTAATAAAAACTAATATACTCAGGTCATGATCTATGTGCAGATGGTAGAAGGGAGTTCTTAACATCAACCTCTTGAAGGAGCACTGACCTACAAGCCCAAGGGCTGAAGAGTAAAGCCTGGGCCAAAACAGTGAAACTAGAAGTGCAGGAGCTTATGAATAAGGATTAAAGTTTTCCTTCCTGCTCAGTGCTGGCCCAAGCCAAACCCTCAGAGATGGGGTGTACTCACCAAGGCAGTGCAAAGAAACCAGGGAGCCTGAGTGACAGGGTCTGGAAGAGAAATGCAGGGCCCTGTGGGTTCTGCTTCTCCCTTGGCTGGGAGGCAGGGACTCCAGGCTTCCGGCACTGCTGACTCAAATTCCCTCCCAACACCTGGGAAGCCTGGAACCTGCATATGGGGCCTGTATAGAAGCTGCACTATCATTCACGCAGCTCCACTTGAGTCCAAAGCCCCCTTGTTGATCACCTGCTGTGTGCTGGTCCCTGCCCAGCCCAGGCTCTTGGCAGCCTGAGAAGGAAGAGAGCAGAGCTCAGAACAGAGTCTGCTGCCCACTGGGCTTTCCAAATGGAAGGAGCCAGGATTGTGCTGGAATTCTAGGCAAACAATCATCCTATTCTAAGATTTTCTCTCGTGAGTGCTAAGAAGCCATCAGCCACGTCCCCTGAATGCTAAGCAGCCAGCACCGCTCTGAGCATCTTTGCTGCAGGGTGACAGGCATCTTTCCCAGGCTGTGTCTCAGGCAGGGTTGGGGAGGCGAGTGCCATGGAGTCTCTTCCCTGGGGAATGGAATTCCTACTTTGGCCTGGGTAAGTTTTAAGTCTTACCTATTGGGTAACTTATTAGGGAACCTACAGGAGTAGCAAAAAGCATTCGACTTTACTTCTCAGGTTGATAGAAAGGTCACTTGATCTGTCCCCTTGCCTTTGTAGGATAGCACACTTTGTTCAACTGGCTATGGTATTAAGAAAAAGTCACTCCAAGAAACCTCCCAGAAATGTGACTCTATAGCTCTGGCATTTCATGACCTGCCTGGCTAGGAGTTCTTCCTGTTGTCTGGCTTGCATTGCCCTGGCTCCAGGTCTGCACCAGGGCTGCTGGCGGTGGCCTGAGCACCGCTGTGATTAGTTAGCTTTTCAGGGACATGTCCTCTCACTCACCCACTTGAGTTCTGCACCTGAAGCTCTTGGCTGTCTTCTGTGACTTCCACCACATCCAGGTCCTGGTCTGGTCTAATCTCCACAGCTCTGAAAGTGGGTTGGCTGCAGTAGGGAGAGAGAGCTGGGAGCCTGAGGCTGGAACAAGATGGCAGGAGCAGCCCCTGCTCCCAGGAGAGGGTGGCAGAGAAGGTTGGTGGGGAGTGGCAGGGGAGCGGAGCGGGTATTGGTTAAGGGGGGAGGGCCTTCTTTGCTATATAATAAGAGACAGTTCCTTGGCATCCCAGGACCCAGCCCTAGGCACAAAGTTGATGTGACCTTGCTTTCTTGGTGCAGGAAAGGACCCTCTTTCCTGACATTCCACTCTGTCCCTGTAATCTCTTTTTGTTTGCATCATGGGTACAAAGAGACAAAGGGACCAAGGTGAACTCCTTCTCACCTTGGAGAGAACGGGAATGTGGTTATCTAGTTTTCCACAGGAGGCATCTGGTCTGATTTCGATAGTGTGCATACATGTATGGCCCCCTTGGGCGTAGGACAAGCCTGGTCTCATCTTTGTATGAATCCAGACAAAACTTACTCCAAGTTAGGAGCATATTCTTCTTTCTTTTTACTCATCCATACTTACTTTCTTTCAAACCCTGAGATTTAGGTCTTCCTCCAGGAAGCCTCCCCTGATTACTCCTACCTTTATGACTCTCCCTTTACTGAATCTGTCTCTTCCAAAAATTTTTCTTCCTCCCCACCCCATCCTGCCAGGATAAGATCTGCATAGAGGGCTAGGAGATCAAATCCATGGCCCTGGATGCTGGCAACATCCCTTCTGTGGACCCAGGTAAGTCTGCTTTGAAGACCTAAGTTCTTATACTGGGTCTGGTAGTTTGATGTGTGACCTTGGAAAGGTCACATTCCTCCTCTGGGTCTCTCTGAGCCTCAGTTTCCCCCTCTGTAAAATCATGCATGGTCCAGATGATCCCGGGGGTTCCTCCGACCCTGGACCATCTATGGTTTTGAGGATAAGAAGGCAATGGAAGCGAGGTGGAGGAAAGAAAGTACAGAACTGAGCAGAGAAACCTGTCCCAGAAGGAAGGACATTAGACACTGGCTGGAACTGGACATCCCAAGAAAGCTAACCTCTGCTCACCAATTACAGCCTGAGGAGTGGTTCTAATGAACTTTGATTTTGTAACGGCAAGGAGCCAGGTGGCTCAGTGCCCCTATGGTCTCCAGGAGGGTAGAGATTCCAGGAGGCTACCACCTTAAGAACTCCAGGAGGCCCCCAGGTTTCATAACCAAGCTTCAGCCTGCTGTGCTGGGTCCAGCTGACTCTGCAGTTGGCTGGACTGCAGTGGGAGGAGGGGCGGCTGCAGCCAGGCTGGGCTGGCGGGGAGCGGGGGTGCAGGAGAAGGACAGGACAGCAGATGCCAGATGTGTCCTCCTGCTGTCCTAGAAATGAGGGTGGCAGAGGGTCCTTTCCAGAAGGTGCTGGGAGTTGTCACACGTGGAGCGTGAAGAGCAGCAGAAACTCGATAACCAGAGAGCAGACAGGGCAGATAGGCCAGATCGATTGGTGATGGCTGCCTGGAACATTTCTTGGAAAAGACCTTGAGACTGCTTTAGGGATGGGTGGGGGGTGGGAGGTTCTGTGATTGATTGGCGATGTCTGACTAGTGGTTATCATTTCTGCCATTTCTGGGCCCAGTTTTTTAGACTTCTGAAGTTTGGCCTGACCAGGGAGAGGGTATTCCGCCCTTGAAGCGGAAGCATATTTTTTTTGCCAGTCTCTCCAGGTTGACTCTCTGAGTGATCAACTGTCTCACTCCCGCTCCTTATAGACAAAACCCTGTGGGTATAAAAAATTGCCCAACCTACAGAGACACTACGAGAGCTCTGAATGCCCAGGAACTGTGGGCACAGAGCATAGCCCTCTACCTCCAAGAACTAAGCAAGTTACTTTCCTTCTCTGAGCCTACTTGTAACACAGATATAATAATAACTATGCTTTTGGTTTTCTGCCAAGATCAAATGAATATAAATATATATAATGCTAATTACCCCTCTTATAATTATGCACCTTCCATCCCTTCCAGATTTGGAACTCCTTTTGGAATTTGCTGAGAGCTCAGATTGCTGACGATGGGGCTCCAGTGAAGTCAGGCTCAGTTCCACCGATTTTAACCCAGAGGGCTTTGGGTAAGTACATTAGGCTTTTGTACAAGTGGACCAGGGAGGCTTCTTGAAAAGGATAAAGGAGTGAGGGTTGAGGAGAGCACTTCATCTGGAACTATGTGAGTGTGTGTATGCGGGGTGCATGTGTGTGGGAGAGGAGCATCACAATTCTCTCATTGTACCCCACGATCATCCTATATGAGGGTGCATTACTTCTTCCAATGAACTCTTGAGGAAACTGAGGCTCAGAGGATAGAACTTCACATTGCTTGTCAGTGAAAGTACTGGGATTCTGGCATCTCCACTGACTCCTGTGCTTGTATTTTTAGGAAAGAAGGAGGAAAGAAGGAAGGAAAGGAGGGAGAGGAAGGAAGAAGGGGAGAGAACCTGCAGGGTGAGGTGATGGCCTGCAGTGGCTTGGGCTGGGTACCTGCTATAGCCCATCTGCCCACAGGCTGTCTTTGCCAGAGCTTCTGTGAAGTTGTCGAAACATGCAGAGGCCCAGTTCCCTGTGGTTGGGTCCAGCACCTGCAGGGTGGATCGGTCCTTGGAGAGGCGGACTGGGAAGAGAGGAGCTGGGGTCAGCTGGAGGGTAGGACCCCTCTAGCCCAGCCCCTTAGAACTCCTCATGAGATCAGCAAGTTCCACCAACCCAGAACTGGGGTTACCGTGAACCATAACACTTAAACCACCAAGGCAAGTTCCTCCATTCGACTTGGTCTGTTTGCGCCTCATTTGGATGGTGGCTAAGGTGACCAAATGTCCTGGGGTCAATCTCCATTTGATCTGTTGCCCTGGCACAATGGTTACTAGTACCCCTTTATAGGTTTGACTTATTTATTTATTTATTTTCAGTACCTGGGGATTGAACCCAGGGCCTCATGCTTGCTAGGCAAGCACTCTACCACTTGAGCCATGCCCCCAGCCCCAGTTGATGATCCGTTACATGGTGGGTCACTCCATCCATGGTCCACCCAGCTTGCCCAGCCTAGGGAGACTTCTTAGGCAGGGACCAAGGTGCTTTCTCCTGTAAAGTCAGGGAGAATGGGAAATGACAGCTGTATTGGCAGTAGGATGGCAAGTGCTCAAAGGCATTTGACTTTGATAAATAAAGAATAAACACACAGGAAGGCACATACCCTGCCCTCAAAAGGCCCCATCACCCATATCCTGGGCTTTTTGTCTCTAGAGTCCATGTACTAGGTAGATCAAGCCAAGCTAGCCCAGTCCAAGAAAGAACGTGGTTTCTATGCTCGAAATATCTCATGTTCCTTTGAAGGACCCGGCTCTGTTTTGTTATATAACATGTTACAATAAACACTAGTGAATGGAAGACCCACTAGACTCTTTTTCTAGAACCTTTGAAATTAGAGTTTTCAAGAAAGGAGGAAATCCCCAAGGTCATCCAATCTAGTCCTCTTTCTCAAAACCAAGCAGGGGTAGCAGCAATGGGCAGGCTCAGTTACAACTTTCTGTCCCTTCAGTCCATTAAGTTGTCACTGAGTGTGTGCCCTGTGTTTAGTGCTGGCATCTACAAGTAGACAGAGGGGTCTTATTCTCCTGAACTTTATTCAATAGGGATGGAAACTGATAAGAAGGTGACTGAAGGCCACACAGTGACCCTAGGTCCCCAGGGTCAAATGGAGATTGACTCCAGGACATTTGCTCACTGTGTGCCCACTCCTCTGGTCCTTCAGCCTCTGGACTTACCTGCCACTGAAGGCCTCTCGGGGAAGTCCTTGATACAGTGCTCCTCATCCTCCCCTAAGGCGCAGTCGGGCTGACCATCACACACCTGCTCCCGTGGGATGAAGGTCAGCGGGTGCCCGCAGATGAAGTAGTGCTTTTCCAGAATCACTTTGACTAGAAGACAAGTGTGGAGAGAGATGGAGAGGACTGAGGTAGGGAAAGGCAGGGTTCTCCTGAAAGCAGGGCTGGGCTTGGAGACAGGCAGGTGTGGGTTCCACGCCCAATTCTGCTGCAGGTCTACTTGGTCCTGAACCTCAGCTTCTTCTCTGTAAAGTGGAGATAATACTGGCTCCATGTCTACAAGATGGCAGAGATGTCAAGAGTGAGACTGTGTGTGTGTTGGGCGGGGGGTGAGGGCACTGAGGATTGGGCTCTGCCAGCCTCTTACCTCTATGCTCAAGCTTGCAGCCCTTAGTGACAAAGGAGGAGACAGAATGGAGGACATGATCCTGGCTCTGTCACTTACTGGGCAGTGGTATGCTGTGAACGTCTCCGTTCTAGACCTCAGTTTCCTCCTTTGCGGATGGCAGAGATGGAATGGGATGGTAATGAGAACACGTGGTGAGCTGGTAATTGTGAAAGCGTCTCATAACTACTGAGTACAGTTTTAATGACAGAGGTTTTTATTTGGGACTGGAAGACTCGTGAAGAGACGGATGTTTCGTTTTTCTTTGTTTCATTTTGTGCCTGCTGCCTCAGAATTCTGCAGGCTGCCCTCAGCTTCTGTTGTCCTTTGTCATCTTGGGCTGATAAGACTGCATTTAATGTTATTAGTCCTTTAGCAAACAGATAATTCAAGAAATCTCTTTGGTGATGACTCCCATGACAGATAATACTCCTAAATGAACTCTCTCTGTCGTGAGTGGTGGCAGTAAGTCTTTGATGGTCCCCACTTATCACTGTGCTAGAGTTTCTCATACTGTTCCTCGTGTGTCCTGGCCACAGGAGGCAGGTATCATGACTAACATCACTAATAAGGAAACAGGACAGAAGAGCTGGGGTTTGTGTCCCAAGGCCTCACAATTTCTGTGGCTCAGCCAGCTCCATTTCCCCCAGAAGGAGCACACAGGGTAGTCTGCTGGCCTGAGACTGCTGATTGGAGTGAAGCAAGGAAGAAGGAGGGGCAGGGCAGGTATTTCCTACATCTTCAGAGTTTGGTCATGATCAGGAGCCAGGTTAAGGCAGGGTCACCCCAGCCCTCTTACACAAAGCCACGAGATAGTGTCGTCAGTTGAGTCCCCTGCAGGAGCCAAAAGGTTGAGATAACCTAGCCCAGGGCAGAGGATTGGTTTACTACCTCTGACTGCAGAATTTGGAAGGGGAGCCTGGGTCATGGCCTTTTGCGACAGCCACTGCCCAACTCTACATTCTGTTTCGTGCCTGCCTGGCTTCCCTTGAATAAATTGGGCTCCATCTCTCCCTCCACTGTGGCAAGGCATATGCTCAGAAAATATTAGTTTGAATAAAACAGGACGGCTGGTCTGCTGATGTCAATGTATAGCTACAGCCATGGTTTGGGTCTGGAATGTTCCCCAAAGGCCATGTGGGTTAAATAAAGCCCTGGTCCTCAGTCTGCAGTGCTACTGGGAGGCGGTGGAAACTTCAGGTGGTGAGGAGGAAGTTAGGTCGTTAGGAGAGTGCCCTAGAAGGGGATTGTGGGACTCTGGCTCCTTCCTCTCTCTTTTGCTCCCTGACTTGTGATGTAATTGTTTTCATTCAGCCAAGGGTTCCCACCAGGACGGGCTACCCCACCACAGATCCCAAAGCAGAAGTGTCATCTGATCATGGATTTGAACCTCCCAAACTGCCACTGGTGGAAACATAGGCTCCTTGAAGGCTGGCCATTCCTGGGTTGGACAGTCTTGCCCCAACTGGCAAACACATGCCCTGGTCACATGTCTGCATGCAGCCTGATGATACACACTTTTTTACAACTTGGTTTTTATCTGAGTTCTTTACACATGGTATCTCACTGGGGCTCACATTGCTTGGAGAGCGTCAGGACACTACAAGTAAGGAGCTGGAGGTCACAAGCAGTGTGACCAGAATCCAGTGGTAGAGCCAGGATTCCCATCCCACGTGTCCTGGGATTGCTAGTTTGGTCCCCTGGGCCCTAACGAATGGAAGTTCTGTGAAAGCTGTGGTCAGTACTCTGCTTTGACTTCAGGGCTGATAACAGGTGTGGGAACCAAAAGGGACCATGGGAATCACTGGTCATTCAGTTTAACTTCTTTGTCACACAGGGGACTGCTCAAGGTCACACTGGGGCTCAGGGCACTGGCCACGTGCAGATAGAGCTGAGGTGGGGAGGGGACGCTATCTGCCTGGCAGTCTTCCCTGGTGCAGCCTTGCTCAGGCAGAAATGCTCCTTGTCTTTCCAGTCAGCAGGGTTGCTTGGGTCCCCTTAGCTGTCACTCTGCAGAAGACAGGAAGGAGGAGGCTGGGAGCAGGTGCCCCTGCAATTGCGTGGGTTTGTAACTTGTGCCCTGTGTGCAGAAGCCATCTGGGAAGGAAGCCATCTGGGAGAGATGGGGGCTGAGTTCACCTCCCATTTCACTCTCAGAAGCAGGCGCCCTTCAAAGCAGGGGTGGCTAAAGTGCATACGCTTTTTTTTTTTCTTTTTTGCAAGTTTTATGCAGTCACCTGCCTGTAACTATGGGGATGGGAGGGCAGGGATGGGGCTGTCACTTACTGAGGAGGTAAGGGAGGGTGCTGTTACATACTCGGGGTGAAAGTTGGGTAGGAGCTGTCACTTACTGAGAACAGCCACAATGATGATGGTTGCCAGGCTCAGCAGTGCTGCAATGATGGGGACCCCCAGCTTTTTGAAGGTCTCCAGGGGGGTGCGGGGCTTGCGCACAGGGGCAGCACCTGCAATGAATGTGAGGCAGAGGGGAAAAGCGTGTAGTCAGTGCTTGGAGCCTGCCCGGCCAAAGCCCACAGCTTCTGACAGTTTTGGTGTTAACGCTGGGGGCTATTCCTGCAGGCTAGGCTGGGCTTCATCAGGACATGACCACCTCATCATTGCCTCTGTCTTCCCCAGGCTCTCCCTATCTTTCACAAGAACTCGCAAATGAGCCTGCAGCCCTGCCCTAGCCTGTATGATGATCAGAGCAGTTTCTCATCTCAGACATTGATCATTTCTATGTGTTAGGAACATCGAAAATCCTCTCACTAGTGCTTTTGAAATATAATTAATTGTTGTCAACCACAGTTACCCTCCTGTGCTCTAGAATACGAGACATTAGTACTCTTGTCCAGCTGTGTCTCTGACTTATCTTTTGATGAAACTATAAGCTCCAGGAGAGCAGAGGCCTAAGCACACAAGCGCTCATAGAGGCTTAATGAGTGCTTGTTAATGCATCCTGACACTTCCCATCTCTAAGTTAATCCAAGCACACAGTGCATCCCTATCGTGGTCCTTGTCATTAAGGAGATTACAGTCTGGGGAAGAGACAAACAGGGGTACAGATGGCCATCCCACCAGGACTGTATTATGCTAGAGACACCATCAGAAGTAGAGGGGAGGCCTCCTGAGTAGGCAGCACTTAGATATGGGGAAGATGGAAGGATGGAGGTGCTGATCCAGCCAGGCACGGGCACGGAGGGGGAACTGCAAGCACCTGGGGTCCTATGAGGTGGGCCAAAGTATGTTGGGAGGCAGAATGGCAAAGTCAGTTTGTGAAGACTCTTGAAAAGCATATCAACAAGTTTAGAGTTTATCCCGAAGGTAGTAAGGAGCCATTGAAAGTTTGAGCAGTAGAGAGATATGATTGCATTCACATTTAGAAAGAGGACTCTTTCATCTAGAAAGAGGTGGGTTGGAATGAAAGAGTCTGGGATTAGGGAAGCCAGATGGGATCCCATCGCTGCCTAAAACAGAGCTAATAATGACCATGTTATCACGTAACTATGCATGTAGCACGGGGAAAGCTGTGGAATGTTCTCATTAAGTGTCAGGAAGGTTCTGCTTCTTTTAGTCCACTTTTCTTGTAGACAATAAGCCAAGTAGATGCCATGAGGACCTCTCTTCCAAAGAGAGCTGGGACAGGAATTGTGGCAACCCTGAGAAACCACAGAAAGCCACCTGCCGGCTCTCCTGCTCCTCACCTCCACGTGGTTTACCCCTACCTCCTTCCAGTCTTTCTTTAATGTTAGCTTCATAGTGAGGCCTTTCTTGATCCTTCTATTTAAATGTAACCTTCTAATACTTCCCATCCTCCCTCCTGCTTTCTTCTCCCCCCCCACCAAGTGTTCATCATCTCTAACATACTCTATCTTTTGTGCACTGCTGAGTTCCTGGTGCCTAGAATAGTGCCTGCCCCATGGCAGAGACTCGAGGTAATGGTGAAGTGGAAAGAGTGAATTGTTCTTGGCTCTGCTCTCTTCAGCATATCCCATCCATCTTTCTCCAGGTCTTGTTTTATTCTGCCTTGAATGATGGCTAGCCCTGGCTGGCTCCATCCTTTCCCTCTGTTCTTCAAAAGCAGAGAATGGGACTCAAAAGGTGCTGATATCAACAGAGCTGTTGATAAGGGAAAGCTGAGTCTTGACCTGACAGAGGTCAGGCACTGGGGATGTGGACAGGACCCGGTGCTGCCTGCAAATGGTTAGGACCTAGCACAAAGTAGGTCATTGATACTGTTTTGAAAGCTCCCACAGCCAGTCTTCAGAAGTGTCCTCTTTCCTATGGCCACAGACACAGTGACATTTTGTTTATTCATGCATGCATCATTTATTTATTGGGTGTCTACTTCTGGGGACATGAGATTGGCTTATGTTCTTAGAGAGTGAATGATCTAACAGGGACTATGAGTCCCTGAGTCCAGGCCGATGTCTCTGCCCCCTGGCTGTTCTCAGGGAGGACCTGCCTTCCTCATCAGGAAGGGGAGGGACTTCACTCCTAGCTTAAGTTCATAAGCCCATGGAGTTATGGGTAGCCTCCCTGCCTGTGGTTGCTGTGCCTACTGCTGCTAGACACAGCTGCCTAAGAAACGGCTTTTGTCCTGAACCTTCACACTGAGAGCTGACAATGGCTCCTGTCGTGTCTGCATCTGAACTTTTCTTTCCTTCCTTTCCCTCTCCTTCCTTCTTTCTTTTTCCTCTCCCTCTCCCTTCCTTTCTTCCTTCCTTTTTCTTTTCTTTTCTTTCCCTCCCTTCCTTCCTTCCTTCTTTCTTAAAAAAAAATTTGTTTTTGAGACAGTGTTTTGCTGTACAGTCCAGGCTGGTCTTGAACTCACTATGTAGCCTAGCCTGGCTTCTAACTCATTGTCCTCCTGCCTCAGCCTTCCCAAGTGCTGGGATTACAGGAGTTCACCATCATGCCCAGCACTTTCTAAGGCCACTCTCCAAGCCAGTGCACTTCCACTGCTAGTCCTCAGCAGCCGCTCCTTGGTCCCAAACAACTCAGGCTCTCTCTCACCTGAGTTTGAAGAGCTCAGGCTCTTCCCTCCTCCACTGAGACCCCTGCCTCCCCTGCAGCTATTGAGCAGCACTGATCCCTTCCTCCTCAGCCCCCTTCGCCCTCCCCAGCCCCCTTCACACTGGCATCCAGCTGTTTTCTGGTTTGGTACTTCTCAGGTTTACTCATGGGGGGTGAGCACTGGGAAGCCAGTGCTCTTTGGGGACCCTGTGGTGTACTGATACATAAAATTCCAAAATACAAAGTAGACTTTGTTTTTACTTGCTGAAGATTCCACACTTTGTGATCATTATTAACTCGTAACCATGAACTGAGAAATAAACAGATTGTCAGTTAGCAGGATCGACCACTTTCTTCCTGACTTGCTCTTACTGATTTGTTCCTTGCTCATTCATTTTGCTGATCCAGTAGGCATCAGGAGTAGGTACCAATGGTTTAAGAAAATGTAACAGTAGGGAAAAATCCTTTAGGTTTGGGGATATTCTACTTATTAACCAACTTTTCTCCTGTAAATCAGGCAAACACTACCATTTTCTTTCCTACCCATAAAAACACCATTGTCCAGCTTGTTTCTTGGCAGGATGGACAGACTGAACTCCATGAGGCAGGGGCTTTGGCTGTCTTACTGCGGTAGCCCAGTATCAGCTCAGGGCCTGGCACAGGGGAGGAGTTGAGGAATCATTGCCTTGGGGTTCAGACTAGGTCTCTTACTTCTACAATGAACCCTGAAACTATGGTTACTTAGCATTTGTTGGTGGAATGGCTGTTGGATGGGGGGGAGGGGGAATGGATCGATGTCACCCACAGCATTTCACACTTGGCGGAGTTGGTGAGGACAGCAAAGGTGGCTCAGTGTCTACTTGGAAATGGAAATTCAGAGGTAAGAGTGGCAACAAAAGCTGTGCCTGAGCTTACCGAGGCTGTTCAGGGTTGGTCACTGTCAGGATCCTGTAACAGAAGGAGAAATGGTGAGTTGAGTGGGGGAACCTCTCACAGTGGAGTTAGAGGCCCATGGGAGGTTCTTGTCTGCATTCCTTTTGTCCTGTTAAATCTAAGTTAGGGTTTCAAGATGAAAAATTCAGTCATGCATGCATTGGACATGACAATAAGTTTACTAATTGTAGCAAGTAACGGACAGTTGTAGAAACACTGGCTGTGGACTGTGGACTGCCGAATTCTCACGGTGGCTCTGCTATACTGTCTGCTGTACTGTTTTGTCAATCGCATGTCTAATTTTTTTTCTTGGTGGTACTGAGGTTTGAACTCAGGGCCTCTTGCTTGCTAGACAAGTGCTCTACCACTTAAATCACATCTCTAGCCCTTTTTGCTTTAGGTTAATTTTCAGATAGGGTCTCACATTTTTGCATGGACTAGGCTTGGATGGTGAATCCTCCTATCTATGTCTCCTGCATAGCTAGCATGACAGGATGAGCCACCAGGTCAGACTCATTTGTGTGTTTTTATGGATGACAGTATTTCTGCAAAAACTTGAGCAGACACTTCACAAAAGGGGACCTCCCCCTGCAAATGGCCAATGAGCATTGGTTTTGCTCATTATAACTCATCAGGCATATGCAAATCCAAACTATGAGATGTCTGTACATAGACATGAAAATGGCCAATGTTGATGAGAATGGGGGCAGATGTGACTCTCACACATTGTTGGGGGGAATATAAATTGGTACAAATACTTTAGAAAATGCTTTGGCTAAATCTACTAATTCTAAATATGTGACTGTTTTATTATTATTATTATTATTATTATTATTATTGCAGTACTAGGGTTTGAACTCAGAGCCTACACCTTGAGCCACTCCACCAACCCTGTTTTGTGATGTTTTTTTCAAGATAGGGTCTCGTGAACTATTTGCCTGGGCTGGCTTTGAACTGCGATCTTCCTGATCTCTGCCTCCTGAGTAGCTAGGATTACAGGTGTGAGCCACTGGCGCCCAGCTGTTTTATTATTGATATCCCAACAATTCTGCTCCAGGATATAGCCAAGAGGAAGGAATGCATATGTCTAGCAGGAACCTTCTATGTGAATGTTCAGAGTAGACTCATTTGTAATAGCTAAACATTGGAAAAACCCACTGGTGGTCCAGCTAAAGAAATTGTGGTCTGTTCATATAATGGGATTTCAGTGACACACAGGAATAAGCTCATGCCAAATGCTATGGCGTGAATGAATTTCATAGACATAATAATGAAGGAAAGAAACTAGACATTGCATTGATATAACATTTAGGAGGTAAAGGGAGTGATAGGAGTCAGAACAGTGGTTTCTACTAGGAAGATGGAGTGGTTATTGGAAGAGGCACGACTGAGTCTCTTACAAGTTCAGGAAACTTACAGGTCTTGTTCTAGGTATTGTCAACACGCGAACTTATATGTGTAAAGCCTCATGTGGTTTAGATTTGAGTGCTTTACTGAATATATGTTATGCCTGATA